CGAGTGTGTTATCTTTATTAAAAGAGAGGCATGACATGTCCATATCTGATGGTAGCTATAAACATGAATGTATAGGTGATTGTCCCCGACCCAGTGTCCGATCCCATTACCCAATAATGTTAGCTTTGGACGGCATAATAATTTTTCTCGTCCTTGGTTTTAGTCACCGCATCCTTGTCTGATTTTCGACTCGATTCTAAACCATGTCGCTCTTCCACTGTCTGCTGATCATCTGAGGAAGGCAAATAAGGCTGAGCGCTACCCGCATTGCCCACATCCGTCGACGTGAACTGCCATGCCTGACCGTAAGAAGGACTAGCTGGACTGGTGACGTGGATAAAATCGTGGTCTTTCATTCGTGTTCCATCGTCGCCCGTATATATGGATCTCGACGCTGATTGTGAGTAGCTATCATGACGAGAGGTTGGCGCAGGGTTTGGAACTGTATTCGAAAGAGGAATCGTGGGCATATTCAGGGGTTTCAATGGGAAGAATTGTCCTCCTGAGCCAATCAGGCGCGTATGGTGGGCCTCTATTGGTTGCTCGTCGTGAGCTGTAACGTGGTACTTGCGAAATTCATAATAAGTCGCCGTGTCTCTGTACCACCCCCTCCTCTCTCTTTGTCGATACCAGAAAACGACCCAAACACAACAGTAAGTAAGAAGCAGTATGGTGACAACAACGGCTATGAACGACTATCAGTACGATCTTCAACACCACAGAGGCCACATAGTCGTGACAAGTAAAGACAGTGTACTTACGCACTGCCATGAGTATAAAAACGATTACAAGGCTTGATCCATGGGGCAGGTCTGAACAACAGTCGGGACTGTTAATGTACGCCTGATAGCTAGCCTCCGACGGACTCCATGAAGTTCCTGTGTCCATGATGAGTGCCAATTAATAGCCGAATGGAAGATTGCTCTACCTGATGGGTGATCTCTAGCCCACTCTGGGATGGTCAGGTTGGCAGTAACCGGGGCACTCCACCCTTGGAAAGTGTTGTTGATGCAAGGAGCCTGCCACTCTGAAAGAAACAAAGGATTCGGTTTGCTTTTCAATGATAGCTAATAAAGCTGACACTGACCAGAAAGGGAAAGCCACTCCCCGCTTGTGATCCCTAATCGAGTCGTAAGCACAGATAAGCATCCTATATGTATCCAACTAACCAGATTGACACCTATAGAAATGAAACTATAAGTTAGTGGGTTGTTTCACCTAAAAATTCCTGTACTTACCACGAACATCCGGCCATAAGATTGTACGCGACGACGTTGCATTGGCATTCGTTATCCACCTACATTGCCAATGAGGTTAATTCACCTGAGCATGCAAGGAGACTTACAGCAGGTGGATACATCTCATGCCTAGATAAAAGAAAGGATGTTAGCGTTCATCGGTTACTTCTCGACAACAGTAAAATTGGACAAACATTACGGTATTCAACGATCTTATGGTGAAATCTAAATAACGATATTAGTACAAGGTCAGTAGAAATTAGGAAATATAGACGTACTTGCGGAGCATAATGAACCAAGCCGGGTCCAAAGTTGGCAAGACGTTTCTCCCATATAATTATTTTGCCACCTACGGTCAAATGTGTTAGAAACTGGGAGGGAAAGCCCCCAAAATTCCATCCTCACGTTTCTCCTGTGCATGTGGCAACATCCGATTGACGGGGTATTAGGTTGGGCATAAGGTGGTCAAGGAGGGGAAAAGGGATAAGATATCGAGACAGTCATGCAGCCTTATATAGTTAGGGATTTCCCCTAGCTGTCAACGTGCGACCTTTTTTCCGGAGTTTTCAGGTCGCTTTAGTCCACTGCTTTGTTTCCCAGGCGAGTTACGGCAGGATCCTTGACAATTCAATTTCCATTATGAACCTCAGCGACGTGTGTTTAGGTTCGGCCGGGGGTTCCCGGTATCTATATGGCAAGAGTCATTTCGGATCGACGGCACAGGACCACCTCTCGGTACAGGTGCAATTGTTATATGTCAATCCTTGTATACTATTGTGTAAAAGTTTGGAAAGACTATCTTCGTATCTTGGGAGTATCCTCTTAAGGTTAGTCTAACGAGCTAGTGAACTGTGCTAGATACGTTTATTTGCCTTTAGGCCTTGATTCTGCATCCTTAAAGGACAGAGGCGGGTCTTGCCAGTTTGGCGGCATGCGAAGATAACAGTCTTGACTGGTCAGGTCGGAGGTAGACAAAAACAGTCCGAGATCTTGACGAAAGGAAATAGACTCATTGCTGTACTAGGGTTCAAGGTTTAATGATAGTTGTTCGGCGCAAGTGTCGAACCCTTAATATAATACCACCCGACATCATTAGCTCAACAGCTCTAATTATCAGTCACATATTCCACCTTGGATTCGTCATTTACCAGGTCTTCTGATGCTGATATATTACAGCAACAACTGCCTCAGATCTGAGAAACAGTATTGGGAGAAGTCCGGCCAAAGAGATTAGGATTCCGAAAACCAAAAGTTAACGGCCTATGGCAATGTTGAGGGTATGACCTCATGATATAGAACAAGGCTAATTTTACACACTCTCTTTTGATCGCTGGGTGCGGACAGGATATACCAGCTCAAAGTTCAGCGGTCGGCACGAACTGAATCGTACAGTTTAAACGAGTGTGATATTATTATTAAAAGAGAGGCATGACATGTCCATATCCGATGGTGGCTATAAATATGAATGTGTAGGTGGATGTCCCCGACCTAA